TATATTCGTTTGATAAACCAAGAGATTGTATTTTCCTCCAGCATGAATTAGTCAAATTAAATCTACAACCAATTATGTTACTTTCCGGCTAAACTTCATTAACTACATTTGTAATATATATATAGCTTTTTCGTAATCAATAGTCACATTTTCGAAAACGAACGATTTCCTAATACAAATGTCGCTGGTTATTAGATTCACAAGGGCGCCCATATACAATTCTCAAGGGGGGGGGACAACATTTTATAAAGTTATAAGTAATACATTTATTTATAAATAATATCTAATGATTATTATTTATTATTTTTATCATAAGATAATTTAACATTATATTATTCTACGATAACACTAAATAATGTCACACATTGGCAATGTGCTTGTATAAAAATACCCATTCCGTTTCCGTACTTCTTTATTAAATATATATATATATATATATATAATTTTATATAAATCTGTGATTATAAATAAAATATCATGATTGACGGTTGTACACACACACACACACACACACACACACACACACACACACACACACATATATATATATATATATATATACCGTATTTGTGGCAATACACAATATTTTAAGAATTGATAACTATCCATAGAATAGAAAGGAAAAAGCCTGTTGTTATTTATAGCTGATAACCTGATTTGCCAAACTAAATAAACCGATTTTTCATCAACAGATTACAAACATTCATACTATATTAAATTAAATTTTTAAATTATATTTAAATAAATAGATTCTGATCATAGTTAACAATTTTTCAAGATTTTTGACATTTTCCAGGGGGGGGGACATGTCCCTCCCTTGCCCCCCATATGGGCGCCCTTGCAGATTCACATAGGTTAATCAAACTCATTCACCTATTGAATTCAAAATATGGTAGTTCGATTTGCACATGTACCAATCGTACAGAGAAAAATCCGCTTACAAGACTCACTACACCGATTAAAGGTATCATTTGGCAATTAAATAACTATACATTTGATAGATTTATTTCAATAATCAATTAGGTAATCATTAAAACACAAAAAAGGATAATAAGCAACTATAATAAAATTAAAATTTTTTTATAAAACCAGTACATTATTTTATTATTACGCACACACATCATATACACGAATTTATTACATGCACTTATCTTTGTTTTACTTGGCTGAAATCTAAATAAATATTTTAAAATAAATTAAATACTCAATAAAAAACATTTGTATTTTCGTATTTTTTTTTTTTTTACATCTTTCTTCTTCTCGAGTAATGGATTCCCAAAGTGAATCTAATCACTGACAGATACGTTCTAATTCAGCGGTTCCCAACCTGGGGGTAATTACCCCCTAAGGGGTAAAAACACGATTTTTTGGGGGGTAAAAGTAAAACTATTTATTTGTATTTTAAGTACTTATTTTACTCATGTGTATTATGACTGTAAATGAAATTGTATAATATAATATTGTTGTTAATAGTTTTGGGAAATACCTTATCTTATGTCCTAATGACACTGATAATTTTATTACCTTCAAATAATACTGAGAATATTACATTATATTGAATTTCCTGGAATTATTTTTGTTGTACAATTGTCAACACATTTTATATTCTATTTATCTATTTACTATTATTATAAATATATAAAATGATATCGATATTTAATTTAATGGTTTTAATCTTTTAACCATCAGTCAGTCGTTCACTGTTTGTTCATTAGTGTACTTGTCTGTGCCGTCCACTGAATATCGATCAGTATTGTCGATTTTCTAATTATTTTGACGTAAAGTAAAAGTTGGATTTTAATAATTTTCCTTTGAATCAGGAACCATGTCACAGGGGAAAAAACGGTCATACAAAGAAGCTTTTCTACAATGGGGATTTACTAAGTTTGTTGATAAAAGTGTCGAGAAGCCTCAATGTGTTCTGTGCAACAAAGTTCTCACAACAGAAAGTATGAAACCAAGTAAATTAAAAGAACATTTTGAGAGAAGTCATTCTCAGTTTGCAGAAAAAGATATTGCATTTTTCAAACGTAAAGAATATGCATTAAAAAATGCACGTATGGATTCATCCGGTTACTTTTTTAAGTCAACTGAAGCTGGTCTTGAAGCTTCGTATTGCATCGCTCTTCGAATCGCGAAAAACAAGAAACCTCATACAATTGGAGAAAATCTCATCAAACCGTGTATACTAGATGCAGTAAAACTTGTTCTTGGAGAGCAACATGTTGAAAAGATAAATAAGATATCACTTTCTAACAACACTATCAAAAATCGTATCGAGGATATGAGCAAGAATATTTTGGACACAGTGCTCAATGAAATAAAGTCAAGTCCTTTCTTCGCCTTACAGTTAGATGAGTCGACCGACGTTGCATCTTGTTCCCAGCTACTTGCCTATGCTCGATACATAAAAGGTGACGACTTAAAAGAAGAATACTTATTCTCAGAATCACTGAGTACTACCACACGCGGTGAAGATGTTTTTCGGACAGTGAAAAATTTTATTGATGAAAATGAGCTGCAGTGGTCGAAGTTAATAGGTGTCTGTACAGATGGAGCACCAGCCATGTTGGGCATTCATTCTGGTTTCCAAACATTAATGAAAGAAGTTGCTCCATTTACATTATTTACCCACTGCATTATCCACCGTTATGCTTTGGCAATGAAAACTCTTCCACCTGATTTAATGGACACATTTACTCATGTAGTGAAAATTGTTAACTACATCCGAAGCAGTGCGACAAATACAAGAATTTTTAAGGACTTATGTAATGAAATGGGAGGAAAATTCGACGTCTTGTTGTTCCACACAGAGGTACGTTGGTTGTCGAGAGGTAAGGTGTTGCACCGAGTGCTTGAGCTCCGAGAAGAAATTGCTTTGTTTCTAGAAAGGAAAAAATCAGGGAAGGTAAAGGAGAAAGAGTTTCACGCTCAAATAACAGATAATGTATTTATTTCTAAACTGGCATATCTTGCGGATTTCTTCGGAGAAATAAATACGCTTAATCTCAGTTTGCAAGGAAATATGACGAATATTTTAACTGCTCAAGATAAGGTTGCCAGTTTTCTTCGTAAATTGCAACTTTACCAACGCAGAATTGATGTCGAGGACATTTCAATGTTCCCAGAACTAACAATGGTGCTCGACGAAAGAAATGAAAAATGTTCATTCACAGACCAAATAGCTCTTCACTTATTATCAGTAGTAGATTCAATCAGTAAATATTTTCCAGATTTAAAAAATCGTCAAGTAAATGCTTGGGTGCTAAGACCCTTTTCAGTGGATGAAAATGTATTTCCAGATACTGAAATTGAAACCAAATCACAATTTTTAGGACTTCGTGAAAACAACACACAGAAAATAGATTTTGAAAACACACAACTAGCAACATTTTGGCGAAAAATTGGTGGAGAGTATCCATTATTATCAGAAAAAGCCTTGAAAATACTGATCCCCTTTTCCACAACGTACAGGTGTGAAAGTGGATTTTCAACAATGGTAACAATGAAAACAAAAGCAAGAAACCGATTAAACTTGGAACACGACCTAAGATGTGCATTGGCCGAAACTGAACCGAATATTAAAGAAATTGTTAGAAAAAAGCAATATCAACCGTCTCATTAATGTTCATTGCTGTTATTCATAAGTCGTAATAAATTAATAAAAACTCTTATTTTCTTTGTTTGAAAAAATAAAATAAATTATAATTATCATCATAATATATATTTTGTTTTGTTTTTTTTACTCACTTTTTTTTTGGGTCGGGGGTATTTGTTAATATCTAACCTGACTTATGGGTAATAGTCTCAAAAAGGTTGGGAACCGCTGTTCTAATTGTATTCGAAATGTGGGCAGCGAAACGTGTCAACGACTGATAATCTTATTTTACCTTTCACGTCTTATACCGACTCGAATGTAATTCGAATTTTGCGAATCGCTAATCATTACGATCTTCCGTCAAAACGTTTGATGTTCTCCATTAGTTTCTTTCGCCACCATGATAATATTGTATTTAATTATCATCACTGTTACACGTTTTATTCGCTCTGATATACTCGTAAATATAATATTTTATTCAAGGGAAAATATATACGATCAATTCCACGAAATCGTATGATGTTCCAGAGGATTCCAATGAATGTGTAATACATTAAACAAATTTGCATCCTACATCCTGTTTACTTTTTCAATAATTATCGATTTTTTTAATACGGTGGACATAGTTCATTATAATATTGATGGTATAATGAAATATTGTGCACATATCACACTTTTTCCATATAATAAAAGAAGATAATGTATCAATTCATAAAATATATGTTGAACATCGGAATATACTTTTTAGAATACGTGTATATAAAATTAAAATATCATTCAATCACTGACCGATTAGCGCATAGCCAAAACGATCGATTGGTTTTAAGGAAATTCATCGATTATAATAATAAATATGCAAGGCAAGAAAGGCATTTTTGAAAATCATGGTTTTCAAGGATTGAAACGGCTTAGAGCACTAGTCAGGTTGTATACCTCTTGGTTTTATTTTGTTTAATGTGTTCGTTTTAATAACTATTGATCGAGGTATATGTATACTATGCAAATGAATATTGTTTAAATAAATTAAAATTAATGGGACCCGTATAAAAACAAATGGTCACAGCTGATCGACTCATACGAGAATGTTTTTGTAACTATGATACGGATCACTAACATATACCGTAGCGTTTCGTACAAAAGAGCAACAAAATTTGTGTTTTCGTGAAAATACGATCGACTTTGGTCGTCTGTGCATGTTTTATCGGTCGTATTTCTTATCATATCACCAGTAATCCGTTCGTTCATCCGTAGAACAACATTCTGCGCGACTACCGCAGTACTCGTGTCCTCCATCCTGCAGGGCTCGTTGATGAAATTCTCCATGGATGTTTCGAGTAGCATCCTCATGACTTGAAAATTCGTTACGTCGGTCATCTTACCCGTCCGAGATCGGTCTTCCACGATGCAACGGTTATCTTTGGTCGTACAAGACGGGCTTGTTGACCATCGAATCGCATCCATTAACACGTCCGACCACGTTTCGTGCAATCAGTCCCTCTGTGGTTGTGAAGCATCGGAATCATTACCAGTTGAAGAGAAGACCAGAGTGTCTTTCATCCTGCAGGACTCGTCGACAACGTTTTCACAGGCGTATCGAGTAGTACAATTGGTAACTGGACATCAGTCGACTCACCGTCATTGCAGACACAGGTACCTTAATTATTTATTTTTGTCCTTACGGACGGTGATTATTATCATTATCTTCAGTTTTTTGATATCCAATCACCACTGCAGCTCGTTCTGACATCGGAAATCTGCTTTACCATTGTTCGGTACCCGACCAATGGGATTCGACCGACGTTCGAAGCATATTCATATTTTTTTGGATTCTTACGACGCTTATATCCAAAAGTTTTTTGTTGTTGTCAGATTCTATTTCACAGTTCTCTTGTTTCGCAACCGACCCTTGATGTATCCAATCTCCCCGTAACCAGATTGCGATCCACGCATAATTCACCGTCATCGCGATTTCCATACACCATATTATTGCAAAATTGGTAGCGTGTGGTCATTTCGATTCTATAAGTGTTCTTGTGTTGCTGGACGGTCGGAGAGAAAATTTTCCGTTTGGCGAATGAAATTGTTCGACGCTTTTGCCTTCGTAAAATTTTTTTTCTTACGAGCAACGTTTGATCTGATGCGTGTTCTGATGTAGTACGGTTTTTAAGATTTTCAATACAGATGCAATCTATACGTCAAGTGGATTGAACTTAAAATCCATTATCATGTTAATTTTCCCGCACATCATTATGCTATTTGTCTTCATCGTAAATATTGTTGTTTACACTGTTTTATGTAATGATTATTTTGACGATGATGGCGTGCTGCATATTACGTACTATTATCGATCACATTCTGCGTATTTGCCAATATCCATGCATTTTTTCAATGATTAAGTAATCAATCGATAAATCAAATGACTGTATGACAAATAATCTCTCTCGTTAATTTTCAAAGTTCAACGTGATATTGACGCTTGCATTTCTTATAAAATCTATGTATACTTTTTGTGCAAACGCATTGATGATTATGGCACAGGAAGAAAAAAACATTCTAGATATTAAGTTTTGTAAGCTCACAACGGTTATATCGTCTCCAAAAAATATATATCATAAACGACAAAATCGCCCAAAAATAAGTAGTTTTACTCAGATGGAAAACTTTCTTACTCCAATAATCATATTTATATCCTCACATATTATCAACGACGCTCCGAGTTCCAAAATAATGGTCTGTGACAAAAATATTTCTCTAGGTTTCAAACACAGACCTCGAATTTCACCTTCGGACAGCTGCACATTTTTGCTGAGTCACACACACTTCTAACAATCCCAAAATGATTTTATCAATTGGTTACTGTCGTCTACTGTTCAGTATCGATTGACAACTTTGCGATTCGTGAGAGATTCTTAAGCGGTAAGATCTTGCGATAATGTTAGGCCGATGTACATGGTACGAGTGAGTTGCTCGCCAGAAACTATGGTGTACACCAAAATTACCGACATCACATATTTATCATGTTAGTCGAAGAAATCTTCAACGTTGATGGTAATATAAATAATGATTTATTTGTTTGCTTTTAAGTTTCCTATATTTTTCTTGTTTGTGAACAACATTTTTTATGATGCAATTACATATGTTTTGAATATTTTGGTTTGTATATCATTAATTGTAATAAGTTGCTATATTTTTATCTCAAAAAATTCTAATTGATAAAAACTATTGATAATTATTAATATTAACATTTAAATTGTAAGTAATATTTAATTAGAAATACAAATTGGTCATAACATTCTCGGGCGTTACTTATGAATTTATTTATACTCGTAACTACGATTGGGAAATAAAATAAAATTATGTTTGTTAAAATTAATTTCAAACTCATAGTTTTCATAAAAAGATTAGCTTTTTGGTGTTAAAGACAACAAGAATTTCATCTGGGTCACGAATACGAAAAATTACTTTTCTTTCATTGATTAACTTGTGTTAGTAAAGTAAACTTTTGGTGGCGTTCCAAAGAGAATTGCCAGTGTTTATGAGTGATTTTATATAATTTTGGTGTGAATCTGATTTATATTTTCGTATGCAATTTTACTCGTATTTTTAATTTTTATATTAAGTTAAAATAGTTGGGTCATTCACTATAAAATTGGTTTTTCTTGCATTCGTACCCCTTCGGAAAATGTTAAAGCGTTTGAATATTATAATAAATCTGAAGTTAAAGTAAACGCTTACCAATGATTGCATTAAAAATACACAAATTGTACTTTAATAAATTTATCACATTTTTCATGATTTTTATTCATCATTATTTTAAATAATTTTATTACATCAAATTGCATAGTTTTTTTTTTTTTTTTTTTTTTTTAATCATTCGATAAGCGTAGTTCGTGCATTCATATCTTATTATATTTGAATTTCACTGGTTATTATTGCAACGATTTATATTGTTGAAACCATAAACTTTATGAAGCGTGTAAGAAACCTATCACAGCTATTTAATATTATATAATGTATTATATTTGTAATCCACTATCTCACGGAATCGTTGATACTCCTGAAATCCAGTAACATTTTGCCTGCAAAACACATAGTTTAAAGATCGGCCGAAAACCTAAATATTCTTCGATCGACATTACGGTATACTTTCGGATAAAAGTACTCCGTATGTTATTTTATTTTATTAGAAAATAATTCGCTCCACAATGACATAAATAACACATATGATAATGATACGTTTCCCGTTGATAACACATATTTATTAAGTTAACAATAGTCTCTACATCAATTACAATTGTACAAAATTAAATTAAACCAATACATGATAATGCTATCGAAACGATTTTAGAACAAAATAATTTTCCGAATAATGTTGCTCATGTAACTACCGATACATATTATTCACAAACTATGTACGAAAAACGCTCTGATCCTACAGCGAAATTATATTATACGTCTAAACATTTTGTGATGCTCGAAAAATCGGTTTATCCGTAAGTATATAGAATAATTACTATACGTGTTTCGTTCCCGTCAGTGGTCAGTGATACAACGCATACAACGATACTCTCTGTGATGAAATATTCCGGTATTAATCATGACATCATGCGCACCATATGTCTCAGTGTATAGTAATATTAATTGACTACTACTATCAAAGATGTACTATCAAAGATGATAAAAACAATAACAATAATAATAGTAATACATTTTTGCAAATTTTTTTTCAATCATATAAGACTCGCTCCATCGTGTTGTATTTGAAACAAAAAAATTTCGAACGTAATCGTAAATTCTAAGTTATTCAAAAGATTTCGGTAGCTGTAGGTGTATAACGAATTTATTATTTAAGTAAAAATAACATAACAGTTTAGTTGAAAAAAATAAAACCCTATAAAATATTCTCTCACAGGAGAAATGTTTGAAAAACACAAACAGTATTAGTTTTGATGCGCAAAATCGAATTCTTAAAATAACCATATGGAAAATCTATACGATATTGAACAATACTCGTTTTGCCACATTCGTGTTGTCACAAACTCTGTCACGATGCACAACACAAATTAATAATTAAAAGAAAAAAATATTAAAAATTAAATATATATATATTAATAAGAAAAGAAATAATAATAATAAATACAACAAAATAAATGTTGTTTAATAATGTTGATAATAATAATCACGAATTATTATTTTTGTAAAAATAATAATAATAAAAGAAAAGACAATAAAATTATTGTAAAAAAAAAATAAATAAATAAATAAAAAGAAACAAATGTCAAAAGACAAAAAATAAAACCACAAGTAAAAATGTAAAAGGCCACGAGGGCGGCAGAAAGCAGACAAACGCCGCCGTCGTTCTCGACGGTCGTCACACCGTCCGCGAACGCTTCGGGGCTCATCGCCGACTCCGAAAACTGGTTCGACTATCTATCGGGCGTCCCGATTGATAATCGAACGAATGGTGACACCAAGTCAAAGGAGTGTAACGGGTGAGATTGTTGTATCTCTGGTTGTATCACTAAATTATTGTACTTACGATTAAACTCAAATGTACGTGTTATCAAAATGAAAAATAAAAATGATTTTGCAATGTATATTCCACTCCATTCAAGTGTTACTGTTATTTGCGAAAGGTTTTCTAAAACTTATTATGATTTTTATTTTTTGAAGTGCAAATCATCGTTTATCGGTTGAAATTAAAACTCGAATAATGTTCATGGAATCAATTCAATTACAAATAAACCGTAAACAATTCATTTTCGATTTCAAGAAAAACTTTAAGAAAACGGTTTAGTTATAGATTATTAAGAATAACTCATTAATGTGATGGTTCCATAAATGATGAAGCTCAAATAAATCACAGTATCATGTAAGCTACCGTTTGGATCATGGAAGTGCATCAACAATTTCACTTTGCAACTGCACAACTTCTCAGATAAATAAACAATTGACTCGTATGGTACTATGAACATACACGAGTTTTCTCAGTAATTAAAAACTGAATTGCGAGAAAAAGTAAAATCTGAAGAGAAAAACGATGAGATCAACTAAAATACTGTTCACAAACAAAATAAAAATGTAATGACTTGAAATATTTGCTCTAAATCATTTATATTACATTTTAACTTGATACTATTAAAACTAACATGATATTTTATTTAATTAATTTCGATAGACATTTTAGCGAATATCGATCACTGATCATACTAATATTTAAAATTCTTATTATAATTTTAATTACTTTAATTTTATATTAACTCATAACTAAGTGATTACTATGCTTTATAACCTGTATAAGTCTTAGCATTTCAAAATAATATAGTAAACATTACTATGTTCGGAATTCTTTTCATGATGCAATTATTTGGTATAGCTTATAGTAAAATTTAAACTCTCCGAGAGACAATAAAGTTCCACTTGAAACAATAAAGCCCAGAATCGCATTAAGGCCAACAGAGAGACAATATATATTAATAAGATAAAATAATAATCTGGTGAATAACACCAGACTCTGAATATCGTTTGGACACACCAGAAAACAATAAGGCCCATTTTGCGACATCAAACGTTAAGATGTTAAGATTTTAAGTTTAGCAGGATTCAATCGTAAAAACAACGAGTATCATTATGGCCAGGTTTAAGACATT